ATAGGAACATCGAAGCCAACATCGAAGGATCAAAAAGCAACGTCGCTATGGACGCTTGGCTGCCACAAGCCAGTTATCCCTGTGGTAACTTTTGGAAAGGGAAAGGGAAAGGTGGTGGAAAGGGATATTACGGTAGTAAGTACAAAAAAAGCCTATAATTTACTTATTAATAGTGTAGATTTTAGATAATAAGGTTTAAGTTACGAAAATTGCAATAGTTTTCAATTGTGGAATGTTATCAGTTGAAAAATCGCTTTGTAAACAGATCGGAACATCAAAATCGAAAAGATTCTGAACGTTTCGGTAAACAAAGAAAAACTTATTGAAAAGATAAATGAAAAGTTGAGTGTTTAGAGTGAAAAAGAAGTTATTTATCTAGAAAAAGAAAAAAAAAAAAGAAAAAAAGATATAGCAACACGATATAATATATGTAATTTATGGGTAGCACAGATAAAGTCAAGGATCCACTAGAGCTTCAAATAACGTCAAGTTATTTGCTTCAAGACCAAGATCATCTACAGATAATTTAAAGGACTATTGGACTATTGGACTATTGAACTCTCTAAAAACTCTTGGGAGTTGATTTCAAATTCTGGCAGTTCTTATTGGAATTCTTATTGGAATTCTTATTGAAAAGTTATACACAAACTTATTGGAAGTGACTGGAATTTCTAAAACGAAAGAACCTCTCCGTGAACTAACCGTGGGATTAAACTAACTAATAATCAAATTTTACTTGTAACTGATGCAATTTGAAAGTTTCAACGCTTATTTCAGTCTTAATTTGATCTCACTATCAACTAGGAAACTCGAGCTTCGGCCTTCATTGTCTACATTTTCAAAGAACACTAGCTGGCTCAAAGATTACCTCAAAACCATGTGCTTATCAATCTTAATTTGATCTCACTATCAACTAGGAAACTCGAGCTCCGGCCTTCATTGTCTACATTCTGGCAGTTCTTATTGGAATTCTTATTGGAAAAGAGTTATACACAAAATTATTGGAGGTGACTGAAATTTCTAAAACGTCAAAACTTTTTGTCAAAAAACATCAAAAAAAGTGGTCGTGAAAGCGGATTTAAAATGAAAATCATGAAAAAAGCGATTGGGAAAGCAAAGCTTTACATATTTTCGTAAAAATGTTGGCTTGCTTCCAAGTCGAGTGTACTTTGAATTTCACTAACTGTAGAGCAACTGACAATTCGCCAAAGTGCTAGAAAGGGTTTATAAAAGAACACAGTACACTAAAGTGATTCATCAAAATAGAATAAACAAAATTTTTTCAAGAACAAGATGATTTCAAAAGTTTTCTCAAAAAAAAAAATAAGGAAAAAGAGAACTGAAATATCTTCATTTGAAAGCCATGAAATTTGAGGGGGTTCATGAAGACAAAAGGCTCAAAAGGCTCAAAAAGGTTGCTCAAAAAAAAGGCTTTTTTTTGATGGAAAATTGAGAAAGTGGAACGCAACTGTTATCCACAAAAAAGAGAACAAAGAGATAAATGAAAAGAGAGAAAAATGAGGAGAGATCATGGGAGAAACTCGGCTTTTTTACATGAAACTCCGCATTGATCCTTTCCTCAATGTTTTTTGAGGAAATCGGTAATTTATAGATGCTGGAAATGGAGGTTTGCGGAAGAAAAGCAAAAGAAGAAAAGGAGAAAAGCTTTTTAAGTTAATTGTAATGTGAATTGACGGGTGAGAAGGGGTTGTAAACACTAATTTTTAAGCAAAAAGCGTACTTTTAACTTATTCTTATCGTACTATTCGTAGAAAAGCATCGTATGATTTAGATGCTATTTTGCCATTTGGTTGCCTGGTTGCTATTTGGTTGGCATTTGGTTGGCATTTGGTTGCCATTTGGTTGTCATTTGGTTAGTCATTTGATTGGTTTCCATTTGGTTGCCATTTGGTTGCCATTTGGTTAGCATTTGATTGCCATTTGGTTGCCATTTGGTTGCCATTTGGTTGCCATTTGGTTAGCATTTGATTGGTTTCTATTTGGTTGGCATTTGGTTGCCATTTGGTTGCCATTTGGTTGTCATTTGGTTGCCATTTGGTTGTCATTTGGTTGTCATTTGGTTAGCATTTGATTGGTTTCTATTTGGTTGGCATTTGGTTGGCATTTGGTTTCTATTTGGTTGCCATTTGGTTTCTATTTGGTTGTCATTTGGTTGCCATTTGGTTGGTTCCCATTTGGTTCCTGTTTGGTTCCTATTTGGTTCCTATTTGGTTCCCATTTGGTTCCTGTTTGGTTCATATTTGGTTCCTATTTGGTTCCCATTTGATTCTTGTTTGGTTGCCATTTGGTTGTCATTTGGTTGCCATTTGGTTGTCATTTGGTTGTCATTTGGTTGTAATTTGGTTAGCATTTGATTGGTTTCTATTTGGTTGCCATTTGGTTACGATTTGGTTGTCAATTGGTTGGCATTTGGTTTTCATTTGATTGGTTGTAATTTGGTTGGCATTTGGTTGCCATTTGGTTGTAATTTGGTTACGATTTGGTTGTAATTTGGTTGACATTTGATTGGTTTCCATTTGGTCTAACTTCTAATAGGCACGATAATCTTCATCAGAGCTCCGATAGTAACTACAGGCTAATATCATACTACAACTATGATATCATAAGTGCTCGATTCAAGCTACCGATAGGTATTACAGACATCTGATTTATTACATTGGAAAATACGAAATATCGGATGCTTTCCCATGACCGATATCTTTCATTTCACCATAGACCTTTTTATTTTTTTTTTGTAATTTTATGTTAGAGAAATGACAGATAACATGTTTAGACTTTGAGCGCTTTCTGTGGTGTTTAGACTGAGAACAAGCAGCTCAAACAAGCAGCTCAAACAAGTAGCTCAAACAACTAGATCTTTATGTTACCGGGCTCAAGTTTTAAAAAACGACGGAGATAACGAGGAATTGTCTCGTTAATTCTCAATAAGGTTTTTGACCTAGTTTTTCAAAAAAAGAACATAAACGTTAAATATCATTAGATAGCTTAGAATCTTGGCTTTTAAATTTAAAAAAGTTCATTGAAATGTGATACTCTGGAGGGTAGATCAAGCGCCTAGAGTTGCGTGACCCAATTTTTTGATCTATCTTGTTAATCAAGTCTAAACAGAAGCATGTTTACTTACAATTAGCATTCAAAAGAATATAATTTAAAAGAATATAATTTAAAAGAATATCATACAAAAGAACTAACTTAGAACATTTAGAACTGTTTTAAATAAGCAGTAGCGAGTTAAAAAGACAAAATCGAAGAAAAAGAGCTCCAAATCGAAAGTTGCTTAATCGAAAGCTGCCTAAAGCTGTCTAAAGCTGTCTAAAGCTGTCTAAAGCTGTCTAAAGCTGCCTAAAGCTGCCTAAAGTTGCCTAAAGCTGTCTAAAGCTGCCTAAAGCTGCCTAAAGCTGCCTAAAGCTGTCTAAAGCTGTCTAAAGCTGCCTAAAGCTGCCTAAAGCTGCCTAAAGCTGCCTAAAGCTGTCTAAAGCTGCCTAAAGCTGTCTAAAGCTGCCTAAAGCTGCCTAAAGCTGCCTAAAGTTGCCTAAAGCTGCCTAAAGCTGCCTAAAGCTGCCTAAAGCTGCTTAAAGCTGCCTAAAGCTGCCTAAAGCTGTCTAAAGCTGTCTAAAGTTGCCTAAAGTTGTCTAAAGCTGCCTAAAGTTGCTTAAATTTCATCAAGACTCTTACCAATTCTTCGCCAAAGTCGAATCGAATTTCTGTTGCACAGAAATCAATAAAATAATAGCAAAATAATAGCAATATTGGCTAGTTTAGCCAAAAGAAAAAAGTTCGTTTTGTTTATCTAATCGTTTGTAAAGTGAAGATCTAATTTTTTTTCTTTTGGATAAATTTGGGGCGGGTTCACTTCCAAATCAAGGACATTTTTTTAAAAAAAGACTAAAAGAAAACAGAAAATCGAAAAAAAGACAACAAATCCATCAATTTGCGAGAAAATTTTCGGAGAGAATTGAGAAAAATTTGCTTTTCTCAATTAAAAAAGGAAAATGTTAGCAAAAAGAAAAAAGCAAAAAGGAAAAACTTTTCTTTTCCAATGATTTATGAGTGTTTTGCTTTGCTGTGGATGGAAATTTATTGAGATTTGCGTGATTTTATTGGACTGGATCTTGGAATTATCATTGTTTTGGCAACGTTTAGAATTCTACGAGCTCGTTGAAAGGATTGATTGATTGAAATGAGAAGATAGCCTTGAAAAGACTTGTACTTTGTGGGGTACTTTGTGGTGTACTTTGTGGTGTACTTTGTAGGGTACTTTATGGTTACTTTATGGTGTACTTTCTGGTTACTTTATGGTTACTTTATGGTGTACTTTCTGGTGTACTTTATGGTGTACTTTTTGGGGTACTTTGTGGGGTCTGGATCTTGGAATGATCATTGTTTTGGCAACGTTTAGAATTCTACGAGCTCGTTGAAAGGATTGATTGATTGAAATGAGAAGATAGCCTTGAAAAGCCTTGTACTTTGTGGGGTACTTTGTAGGGTGCTTTGTGGTGTACTTTATGGTTACTTTATGGTGTACTTTGTCGTGTACTTTATGGTTACTTTATGGTTACTTTATGGTGTACTTTCTGGTGTACTTTATGGTGTACTTTTTGGGGTACTTTGTGGGGTCTGGATCTTGGAATTATCATTGTTTTGACAACGTTTAGAATTTTACGAGCTCGTTGAAAGGATTGATTGATTGAAATGAGAAGATAGCCTTGAAAAGACTTGTTCTTTGTGGTGTACTTTATGGTTACTTTCTGGTGTACTTTGTGGGGTACTTTGTGGTGTTTTGTGGGTACTCTGTGGTGTACTTTCTGGTGTACTTTCTGGTGTACTCTGTGCTCTCAGTTGAGCACTCTTTCTGGTGCTCAACTGGAAACTTATGAGTTTAAATCGTTTATTCATTTCAATAGCGTTTTGATGCGATTGGTATGCGTGCAGTTTCCATCACGGTCACCGTCTGAGTCTAGGCAATTATGTTAGTTTTAAATCAACACCGAGATCGGATTTCGGGCAAAACCGAGATCCTCGAAAACGGAGATTTCCTGAGATTGAGCCAGACTAGATCTATTTTAAGGACCAGATTAAGGTCAAGACTTTAACAGAGACAAATAAGTAGCCTATCCCAAGCCTATCACTGCCTAAAGCCTACTTAGAGCCAGATAGGTCAGCCCAATTGGGAAACGGATTAGACTCAGCTCCAGCCTAGACAATTGGTTCTTGGACTGGAGCTAACCTAGTCTAGCCAAATGGTTCACGGATTGGCCAGGGTAAGGTAAACCAGACCTAACACAAGCCAGACTCTTTAGATTACCGTATTTATTCTAGTAGAAGATTATGATTTTCGATTTTTCAACCAAGATCCGATTTCACATCCTCCAAAACTCGCAAAACCAAAAGAGCCTCCAAAATGGAGATTTTCTGAGATTGAGCAAGGCTAGATTTATTTTTAGGACCAGATTAAGGTCAAGACTTTAACAGAGACAAATAGTTAGCATATCCCAAGCCTATCACTGTCTAAAGCCTACTTAGAGCCAGATAGGCCAGCCCAAATTGGGAAACGGATTAGACTCAGCTCCAGCCTAGACAATTGGTTCTTGAGCTAACTCTAGCTCTAGCTAAATAGTCCATGAATTGGCCAGGGTAAGGTAAACCAGACCTAAAACAAGCCAGACTCTTTAGATTACCGTATTTATTCTAGATCATGATTTTCGATTTTTCAACCACTCAAAATCAGCCGGTTGAAAAAGGTGAGGGTGGCACACATGAATCAAAAGCTTTTAAACTATTAAAAGCTATTTTAAACAAACAGTTCTTAGCTTTAAAAAAATGCTAAAAACAATTTTAAAAGTGAAGTTATTTTCCATAGAAAATCTCCCAAAAAATTGTTTTCAAAAAAAAAAAATTTTTTTTTTTAAAAACTACTTTTCCAATTTTAGTGTTAAAGCTGAAATACTGAAGCATATATTTCAGCTTTAATTAGCAAATAACAAAGCTGAATTAGCAAATTAGCAGCTTTAACTAGCAAATAGCAAAGCTGAATCTGAATCTGAAACATTTGAAGTTATAGCTATAAATTTAGCTTTAAAAAAGCCTTGAAAAGTCCTGATTTTGAGGAGAGACTGATAGAGACCGGTCTTCAATTCAAATAAATAAGTTATGCGCTTCAGCCTAAAGTCTCTAGAGTCAGTCTAAAGTCGCTAGAGTCAGCCTAAAGTCGCTAGAGTCAACCTAAAGCCGCTAGAGTCAACCCAAAGTCGCTAGAGTCAGTCTAAAGTCTCTAGAGTCAGCCTAAAGTCGCTAGAGTCAGCCTAAAGTCGCTAGAATTAGCCTAAAGCTACTAGGGTCAGGCTAAAGTCACTAGAGTCAGTCTAAAGTCTCTAGAGTCAGTCTAAAGTCGCTAGAGTCCGCCTAAAGTCGCTAGAGTCAACCTAAAGTCTCTAGAGTCAGTCTAAAGTCGCTAGAGTCCGCCTAAAGTCGCTAGAGTCAACCTAAAGTCTCTAGAGTCAGTCTAAAGTCGCTAGAGTCCGCCTAAAGTCGCTAGAGTCAACCTAAAGTCACTAGAGTCAGTCTAAAGTCTCTAGAGTCAGCCTAAAGTCGCTAGAGTCAGTCTAAAGTCACTAGAGTCAACCTAAAGTCACTAGAGTCAGTCTAAAGTCTCTAGAGTCAGCCTAAAGTCGCTAGAGTCAGTCTAAAGTCACTAGAGTCAACCTAAAGTCACTAGAGTCAGTCTAAAGTCTCTAGAGTCAGTCTAAAGTCACTAGAGTCAGTCTAAAGTCACTAGAGTCAGTCTAACGTCTCTAGAGTCAGCCTAAAGTCGCTAGAGTCAGTCTAAAGTCACTAGAGTCAGTCTAAAGTCTCTAGAGTCAGTCTAAAGTCACTAGAGTCAGTCTAAAGTCACTAGAGTCAGTCTAAAGTCACTAGAGTCAGCCTAAAGTGGAACTAGTCTAGCTAACTGACCATTAGATCATTTGCGATCCTTGGTTGACACACTTTATTTGGCACACCTCAATCGCAAATGCTCGAGGTAATAACAGACGGCGAATGTTCGCATTCGTGGCAAGAAGGCAATAAGGCGGAAGGGTGCAAGTGATATCCATGTAATAAAAGCTGAAAACAAGTTGAAGAAAGATTTCAATTGATTTGTGAGTGTTTTTTGGTATTTTTTAAAGAAAGAAACACTCACAGTGTCTCTGAAGTGACTCCAATAGCGCCAGGCACATGTAAAATGGAGACGAATAAAAACTGAAGTAATGTTCGCAATAATTCTAACAACATTGGTAGAGCTTGAATGATTGTGAACCACAAAAGACGTCGCTCCATTTTTGAAGCAATTTCAATCTGAATCAATGTCCTTTTAAGCAAACTCTTTAAGCAAAATGTCACTTACATTTCTACTTAACTGAAAAGAGACGACAAAGCAATAAGAGCAGATTAGAACCGAGATCAGCACAAAACCAAAGCAACCGAAAGTATTGATCTAGAAATTTTATTGTTTTATTTATTGAGATAAGCAGAAGGATTGGGTAGGCTTTCAAAGTTCAAAAGAAGTTTAAAAAGTGCAGAAGTGCAGAAGTTCTTTATAGAGTATAAAATCTCTATAAAATCTTTCGTTTACAAAGGTTTTTCCAAAGTAAGAGCTATCGGGAATCGAACCCGATGCGAATTGAAACCAAGTTGACTTGTAGACAGACGCTCTAACCACTGAGCCACCGTGGCTTGTTGTGCGAGGAGAAAAAAAGGAATACAAAGAGACCGATCGACTGTGCGATGATCAGCTTTGAATCTCAGTTTTCGTTTTCAAAAGATTTTCCAAAGTAAGAGCTGTCGGAATTGAACCCGACAAGAATTAAAACCCAATTTACTTGTAGATAGACGCTCTAACTAGAGCTCTTGTAGACGCTCTTGTAGACAGAGCTACTGAGGCTTGTTGTACGAGGAGAAAAAATGGATACAAAGAGACCGATCGACTCTACGATGGTCAGCTTTGAATCTCATTTTTCGTTTTCAAAAGATCTTCCAAATTAAGAGCTATCGGGAATCGAACCCGACACGAATTGAAACCCAATTTGCTTGTAGACAGACGCTCTAACTACTGAGCCACCGAAGCTTGTTGTTCGAGGAGAAAAAAAAGGGATACAAAGAGACCGATCGACTGTGCGATGGTAAGCTTTGAATCTAGAATTCAATGTAAAAGCCTGGAGAGAAAAAGACTAAAAGATTACGGTACTTTTTGACAAGTTTTAGAAAACGATTGAATTTCTATTAATAGCTTAACTCACCCTTAAAGCAGCCGCGTTTCCAGCAAGAAAAAGAATCGTCGTCTGATTGATCATCGTCGCATTGGCTGATGTCAAAAAGAATGGCACATTCACCGCCAATGGAAAGAACCATCCAAGAAGAAAACATAGTAGAACCGTTTTTCCAGTCCATATCTGGTAAATAGATATTTTAATTGTCTAAAAACAGGCTACTCTTTTATTGCTCTACCTTACGATAAGCGACTGGCCAAGCAAAGAGACATAAACGATTCAAAGCGAAAGGGATGTGGCCAAGATAGAGAACAGAGCGGGTCACTAACAAAAGGCCATAAGATAAACTAAAAGTTAAAATCATAAAAATAAAGCTTGTAAATTTTAAAGTCGAATAACTCAACAGAAAATGACGTTTTTTACAAAAGGACTTCAGATTCGGAATTAGCGAATTTTTTTAATGCTAAAATAGAAGTTTCTAGCTTAGCTCAATTACTCGAAGAAAACCGACAGACGGACAGACGGACAGACAAACGATGTTATATCTATTAGAAAACCAGCTTAAAGTGTCTAGATAATCTATTAGGCATTAGACAAGAAGAAAAATAATTATTGGGTTGGGGACTATGACTCGGCGGACAAAAGAAACGCAAATTTATTGAACATTTCACAAGCAAATCATTCAAGGTATTCTCCATTATTTTGCACGATTTGGGCCCATTTTACAGGCAATTTGCGGATTCCTCTTTTGTAGTAGGATTTTGGTTTGTGTGTGAGACAAGTGGGAGACTCAAAAATGGAGGACTGGAGATGTCCCAGTTTGAGCACTTTCTTCAAAAGAAACCCATTTTGGTGTCAATGGAAAAGTTGTAGAGAATCAAAAATTAGGCTTATAGCCAAATTTGCCAAAAAGATACACTTAGTAGTTTCGCTTAAAATGCAAGTTTTGTGAAAATTCGTAAATTTGGCATTTCTTGAAAACCAGTTTTTGAATCGTTCTGAAAATTTGGATATAAGCTTGATTTTTGATTCTCTACAACTTTTCCATTGACACCAAAATGGGTTTCTTTTGAAGAAAGTGCTCAAACTGTCACATATGACAATAGCCGGCGGGTTTTCCATTCTCAGACCCAATAGATTGAGATTAGCCTTGATTTGAGGAGAAGTCAATGTCGAATTTGAAGATTCGTAAACGGCCAGAAGAGATTTTCGAGCAGAGAGGGAAGGGACTTATGTAAAAGCCCTGCGCCAGACGACAAGCGATTACGCGGCCGCACAAAGAACACACAGAACACAAATTTTAAGGGGAACTACTAGGTGTATCTTTTTGGAAAATTGGATATAAGCTTGATTTTTGATTCTCTACAACTTTTCCATTGACACCAAAATGGGTTTCTTTTGAAGAAAGTGCTCAAAAGAGAGTGTTGGGAAACTAGCCGCTGAGTCATAGTCCCCAACCCAATAGAATATTAGGCAAGAATATTAGTTAACGAAGAAAAATACTTTTACTATCATTTTCAATCATTTTTTTTTTGTTTCTCAAAGTATTTTTCTTCTTTTCCATAATAATAAATGAATTTTTAACTTTGCTTAATTTCTTCAGCGATCAAAAAAAACGAAACTCACGTGCCGGCAAGATCCCCGTAGAATGGGAGAATCCAATAACGGGGAAAACGAAGACCGAATTGGATATAGAGAAAGAAAATGAGATCATTGACAAACTGAATGAAAGGGAAATATGGAAATCTTTTCTGAATTCTCTTTGTGAATGTAACCAAAATCAAAACCTTATAAGTAAAGAAGAAGAAAAAGAAAATTCGTTTTATAAATATTATTGGGTTGGTGAATTGAAAACTGCGGGACTTTTGAACTAAAATTTATTCAACATAAAACCATCAATTCATTCCATATAATTTCCATTATTATTGACGACTTCTGCCCATTTTACAGGCAATTTGCGGATTCCTCTTTCGTTGTAGGTTTTTGGTTTTGAATCGAAAAACTTTCAAAGCCAATTTTTGACTGCTTCTTCCGAATCGAAGTGTTCTCCTGCAAGCTCATTACTCATGATCCGGAATAAATAGTAATCAAAAGGGGCGAGGTCCGGACTGTATGAGGAATGCGCCAAAAGCTCCCAACCAAGGCTGTTTATTTTAGAGCGAGTCAGTTTTGCAATATGAGCGCGCGTTGTCATGGATGAGAACGATCTTTGACTTGGAGGGCCTATTCTTCTTCAGGAATTCATTCACCTTTCCCAACTGTTCACTGTATTTGATTGCATTAACGGTCGTCTTGCTGTCCAGCAACTCCCAGTACACCAATCCCTCCATATCCCAGAAAACGCAGAGCATAAACTTCTTCTGGTTCAAATCGGGCTTGGGGTCACTTTCGGGTTCCTCGCCTGGCCCAACCCATTGCCACTTCCTCTGAAAGTTCACAGATCAAAGGCCATTTCTCATCTCGTCACAATTCGAGGAAGAAAAGATTTCCCTTCGTATCGTGAGAGATGGGCGGCACTGATCGAGGCGCGCTGCCACTTCTGGAGGTCATTGAGGTCATGGGGCACCCATGGGTCAACTTGGTGCACCCAAGCCCCAAGTTTCGATTTAAATCCAAGGGTATGAAGGTGCCTTAGCACTGTAACATGATCAACCCCTAACTCTTCTCCCAATTCACGCGATGATACCCGATGGTCGTTGATAATGAGTTCGAATAATTTGGAATCATCCAGTTGGGGTGCCGCTCCACGGCCCTCTGCATCTTTCAAAGATTTGTCCCCAGATTGAAACTTGGCAAACCATACTCGACACGTTCTTTCGGAAGGTGAGTCCTCCCCATATATCTTTTTAATATTAGCAGCTGTCAAGCCTGCACTGTGCTCTTGTAGGAACTCATGAAGCATCACTTGACGAATCCCGGTGGCAGATTGTTGAGTGGAATAGAAAAAGTGAAAAAAAAATACCAAAAGATAAAAAGCTGGAAGCATAATTTTTTTCGCAATAATTAGAGGAAATGTTGAAGTAAACAAACTCCCTTTTAGCTGGTTCTATGGTATTGTTTTCTTTATCTTTAAGTCTCAACTATAGTCTCAACTACTTTCTTTATCGGGAAATTCTTTCTAGCACAAATTTTGCTGAGAAATGAGTTCAGATGTTTGGTTTTTTGTGAGAATCATTACATTAAAAACTGGTTTGTATTGACAAAGAAATCTTGACTCTTCTCAAAAAGTAAAACAATTTTTTGGGGCTTATTTGTAAAGAAATCTACAAAACATGCAAAGAAAAGCTCACAGGGAAACGAATCTTTTTACTATTCATTATTTAACTTAAGTGATAAGAGATTACTTATAACAATGAAAAATGCCACTTTTCTTATTCTAAATAGCCCGCAGTTTTCAATGCACCAACCCAACATTTAAAAAAAAATACATTTATTGAAAACCAATAATGTGATACAAAAAAAGGGTACATAATAAGACATAAAGGTTAAACACACAATTTTATGGCACTGCGGCCGTTCTCACCCCTATTTACCCCTATTACCCAAATGTTGTGAAAGATAAAACCCACTTGGCGGGAAAAAGAAACATTTTTATCTTGCCAGAGTGATTGAACCCTCGACCTTCCGCTTAAGAGACAAGACTCCTAACCGGTCGGCCATCTGGCCTTTCAAATTTCAAAGATAATTCTTGTTACACTCACCTGAGCAAAGACTAATTTGAAGAAAGCGGATCGGAAAATCTTCTGACTTTTCCGGCGTTGAAATATTCGAAATATTAAAAGAATATATAGAAACATTGAAGGAATTGAGAAACCGAGGATAAACCATTGACCCAATGGAACAGTCCATTCCATCTAAAAGAGTCCATAGAACAGTCCATTCCATCCATCCATCCATTCATTCATTCATTCATTCATTCATTCATTCATTCATTCATTCATTCATTCAGAGAAAAGTATTTACATATTTTCCATACAAAAATAGTAAAAAAGGTCAAAAAGATCAAAAAGATTAGTGATTTATGAACTGATTGCATACTCGAGTAAAGAATAAACCAAAAAGTCAGCATTCATTGGTAGATTTTTAAAAAAACTCTACTACACGCTAACAAAAATGAATCTGTGATCGATTCTTTACTCAAATAGAATTAGAAACAGCTTTTTAAAGGGGTTTTTTTTCCTGTATCATAGTATTTACACTTTTTCAAGAAAATTTCAAATTTCCCAAGAGATCTAGAGAGAATCTAGAAAGAAAAAAATATTAATGAGTCAAATGAGTTGAGATTTAGCTAAACAGTGATCAGGAGGTGAAAGCTAAAAGCTAACAAAGCTAAAAGCTAACAAAGCTAAAAGCTAGCAAAGCTAAAAGCTAACAAAGCAAAAGCTAGCAAAGCTAAAAGCTAACAAAGCTAAAAGCTAACAAAGCTAAAATATCCGAGAATGTAGGTGGGAGGGACGTTTAGCGAATTTTACAATCTTCAGATTAGACTGTGTCCTTTCTTAAAGGATTTATTTCTAAAAATTGTCCTCTCTTCTCTTTCTACCGTAATTTTCTCTCTCTTTTTATTCAATTTATTCACTTTTTGTTTGATTCTGTGAGGAATTAAAAAGAAAATTGAAAGAAACAAAAAGCAGATAGATTTCATAAAAATATAGACAAGTTTACGGTAGAAAAGAGAAAAGGAATACGTTTTTAGAAAAGATCTACTTTCTTAGACTTTCTTAGACTAATTTTTTTGGATAAGAACTTGAAAAGATAGAAGATATTCTTTAGTTAACGGATTTTTGATACGCGCCCATTTTCCCATTAGCAATCTAACTTTGATCTCAAATATCTTCGGGTTGGGCTGTCGAATTTAAACATTTCTGGTATCATTGGATGCGTCAAGACTTTCTCTGTCGATTGATACAAAAACTATTCAAATTGAACAGCCCAATACCAAGAAATTTGAGCTCAAAGTTAGATTGCCAATGGCAAAGGGCGCGTATAAAAGGATTATCGGACGTCTGATAAGCCCCGCGCCTTTTGCCATCGGCAATCCGAATTTAAGCTCAAATTTCTTGGTGTTGGGCTGTTCAATTTAAATAGTTTTTGTACCAATCGATGGAGAAAGACTTGCCGCATCTAATGATACCAAAAATATCTAAATTGGACAGTTCAACACTAAGAAATTTAAGCTTAAACTTGGATTGCCAATGGCAAAGGGGGTGCGTATCAAATATCCCACAATCGTTCTTTTGCTTCCGCATTTCTTCAGCCTTCTTTCTCTCTAGCAAAAAGCGCCTGTAGCGCAGTAGATAGAAGGTCGGCCTTGAAGCCGGAAGCTCGAGAGTTCAGTTCCACTTGATCATCTTTCCTTGCTAAATTTTTTCGAAAAGGAAATTGGAAAAGGTGAGAAGAGGGGATGGAGGAGAGAAACCGAGCGAGGTGAGGAAGGAAGGAAGGAAAGAAGGAAGGAAAGGAAAGAAGGAAAGGAAAGAAGCATCTCCTTGATGCATAAAATTTTGTTTAAACTATCATTTCTTTCGTCAAAGATAAATAAACTGGTAAAAATTTAGAAATCAGTCCCACTAACACCCACAACTCAAAAGTGTCATATCTCGACGTTTTGTTTCGGTGATCTTTCTTTCCAAACAGGAAAACGACTCAATTAGACCAAGAGTTTCAGAAAAAATCACTTTTCCCAAAGGATTTCACTTTAAATTGATGCGTGACGATCAGAAATTAGAACTTTCTCAAATTTTTGAAAATTTAGAGGAAAAACAAGAAAATTTAAGAAATGCTTGTCCAAAATTCGGCGAAAGACTCACAGCTAAACGCACAGCGATCAAATTATCGAAAACCTCTTTCCTTCAAATTCAATATTCGGCTCATTCATATACTTAAGTGATTTGTATGATGTTTGAATTGAAAAAAAAATAACTTGTTTCTTTGGTCAAAAATTTCTTTAGATTTTAAACGTAAAAAATCTCATCTTAGCCTTTCACCATTTCGTTTTGTAGAGATGGGGCTGATTGTTGTGGAACTTGCCGACGATCCGCGTGCGACGCATCTAAAATGAAATGAAATGAATAGAAAATCTAGAAAATTCAAAAGCCCAAAGGTCACAGTAACCCACAAAGAATAAACTTTTAATGTTTGAAGTCTAAAACTTCTTACCTTGTCGATTTGTCGATTTGTCGACTCGTTCTCGCTTCGTCTCTCATTCGGATGTAACAGGCATGACAAACGGCCAGCAAAAAGATGCACAAATATCTAAAAAAAAATTTAGTCATGGAAAAAGATAAGGAAAACTTACAAAGCCAGAAGGCCGTGAACAGCATAAGGCCAGATATCGTATTCCATCTTTTGAAAATGAAAAGCATTTGAACGAGCTTTAGAATTCCATTTTGCAAATGTAAATTAGCTATTGTATTGAATGTCGCGATTACCACACCCAAAATCAAGTGTTTTGTTTGAAGTCACTCAATACCCCGTTCTAGTCATATATTTATGCAAAAAGACGAAAGATAACCAAACAATTGAAATAATGAACAACAAGTAATTTTCCGATAACAAAACGACTGTGGAAAATCGAGATCTCTTAGAAATCACAGAAAAAAGAAACGAGATGGTCTCCAAAGCAAAAATCATCTCAATCAAAGGAAATTTTGAAAGGGAAGATATTCATAAATAAGAAAAAACATAAAACCCTTTCAACAGAAAGGCGATTGAAAATCACAACCAAAATCGACAATCAAAGAAAATCAGTTGGTTGAGTAGAAACGAAGCGAGAAGGTTGTGAAGCATGGAGATCAAAGAACCTAAAATTCTGTTTTATGTCAAAAATCAGCGCTCTTACCTAATTCCTTCCGCGAATCACGTTAAGCGTCTTGTTGAGTGCATCCAACCAATCGTCGACAAGCTCACGCGAATCTGCAGCGAGGATGACTCTAAAATATAAAAATGGTTCTTCGAATCTTCGAACCAACCTTTTATGTTCAACAACAGTCGTATTCCGAGCCACCAGCATGTCAATTGAGAAGGCGTGAGCGCGCATCGAGACAACATTCGGGGCAAGCACAATCTCCTCATCAGTGCATTTTGAAAGATCCATTTGTGCAATGGCAGACTAGAAGAGAGAAAATGAATAGCAATAGTTAAAACGAACCTTGTCATCCATTTCATCTTGAGGATCTTTCCAGAAGCTGATCAATCCTCGTCGAAGCACTCCCCAAAAGCGAACCCAAGATCCATGACCGCCAACCATTTGAAACATCGTCTAAAATTGGCATTATCCTGTATTTTGGAACGGTAGTTACCAAAAATCCACTAAAGTCTATTTCTACAGCTGATGGTAGACTAGTACATTGAGTGTTGATCTCGATGGTTCCTTCGAGTGGATACTCAACACCATCAAGATAGAAGAGTTGACTTCCGACTGTGTCCCTAAAATAGAATTAGCCTATTAAAGAAAAAAAAGTGCATACCTGCTAAGTGCCACCGAACCAGAACGAGCAAACTCTCCAACCGGTTGAATTCCATGGTCAGGCGTTGGAAGCATATTACGACGCGTCATACCTAAACGACAAACCAGTAAAGTTGTTAATGTGCTCCACAACCTGGACTGAAGAGCAATTTGGCTTTGGTGGCAAAGCTGATACACGATGGATCTGAATCCTGTTTTGCATCGCGCATGCGCATCGTGAAAGCCTCGAGGATAATTGAGAAGTCCAGTGGTAGATTCGAGAAGCGAATACTTTCAGCAAAGTGTAACTGACGAACGCGCTAAAACATATTGGTACGTTTTTTTCAAGTTCCGACTTACCAAGCGTTGTGCATCAATGATTGTGATTGGAGCAGTGGCTTCAACTTCCGGTCCACAACGCATCAACACCAGAAATGCATAAGTTGAAGCTACATGAAAGTTAACTTTTCTTAGAAGAAAATAGCTTACTATCATCTCGTTGATGGCAAAAACGAGGGCCCAAGTGCACTTTGATATTGTTGATTAACATCGTTCCACGAACACTATTTGCCACCTAAATTTGAATAAATTAATAAAGCATATATCAAAGTTTACCGGTGGCGGAATTGGGTAAATCTTCGTCAAATTCTCCAATCGCTGAGCTTCAAGTCGGATCGCCGCAAGACGTTCTCGAGCCAACAGAAGAGTCCGAGCAGCAGCAAGCTAAAAACAACACTTACAGAAGTCACAAAACCAAATACCTCTGCGGGAATCCGATCTCTCACCTCGTTGAGCATCTTGTGCTTCTTACGAGCCAATTGCAGGACCTTCTCCGACATTTTCACTTGTTCAAGTTGTGCATCCGCTTGTGATTCAAGACGCTAAAATACGAAATACTTTGTTTAGATCAAAAATTTTACAATAATAGCTCTTTCCATTGCCATTTTCGACTCGTAGTTCAAAGTTCCAGGGCGCGTTGTGGCCGTCGTAATTGTAGACAAAAATGTCGTATCACCCCAACTAAATTACAACAATCAGAATTCACAATGGCACAAATTACGCATCAATAATTGCCCGTTGTTTTTGACCTTCTGCAATCGTCAAGCTATGTCGCGGGGTCGAAGTGGCCAAAGCTGGTGGAGTTTTGGCTGTTGTGTTCCCAGTCTACAAACGATATTACCAAAGAGCATTTAAGCCCTTACCTGCTCCTCGTTGTCCTTATTATGTATGCGTTTGATGGCAGAGATTGGCTCTCCCTGCAAAGTCCGTGGAAACTCCGATTTTGGTTCATAAGATGTATGGCGCTGACCCATTTGAGTGTTTGTTGCCAAGTTTGATGCAGCTCCTCCTGCAACGACAACGTCCTCGTGAAGCTGGAAAGGAACATTACATGATTAATGATGAGTCAAACCTTATTGTCTGGCTTTGTAACTGCCGGAGAGTAGAGATTTTCAAGTCGATAAGCAGCAGAGCTACCGTTTTGCCATGGCGAGCTAATTGTTGAAACGCCGCGAAGCCAATGTGGTGTATCCTTAACGAGCGGTGTAGAAGTTGCCAAAGGCCCTGCACGTCGTGAGAAATTTGGTGTCTAAAATAAGAAATGTTGTACGTATAGCTCGATTTATTTCTACCCTGGAACCACGAAGTGAAACGTTGTAAGAAGCGGGAGATTCCCTGATTCGCACGGTTCCATCTCCATCGGGTGTCAGTGGGCGTGGTGGTCGATCGTCGCGAGCAATTCTGATTGGAACCCGTGACACATGTGGGTGCAAATCAGGAATCGTCTTCGATATCTCTTTCTTGTTCTTATCGCCGCCGACTCCAAACTTTTGTGCAATTTGGGTGATCTTTCGGCGCATCTTGTCTCCGGGTGATTCGGCAACTGGTTTCTCATCGTAGAGTGATTTCTTTGAAGTCGCTTGAGGAAGATACCAAGCACGTGGCTTTGAACTTGGCGCAACTTCAGTGCTTCTGTATGGATTTGGCGGAGTCTAAACAGGTTCTTTATGAGTCATAAAACTCGGACAATTACTCGGTCTCTGAATCGAGTTTGAGTGCCGTGGTGAACGTCACGAAATTCAATTGGTACAGGCAAAGGTGTAGGTCCAGCTGGAGAAAACCGTGGCTTACGATGAGTTTTTGGCGTTTGCTAAATGAATAATACAACCAGTAAGTGTTAAAATACAAACTTGGATCTCTAGAGGAACAGCTTGCTCACGACGACTTTCATGTCGATTGCCGAATCGACTCTGTCAAATATAATCATCAAATATCCCATTCTCCACTTACCACCGGAGAAGAAGTGAGATGTGCACTTGAAAGAAGTAGTGGCTCAGTTGAAGTTGGAGTCTTACTGTTTTCCCTTTGCTGTTGAAGTCGGCGGTAACCAGAAAGCTAAAACAACAGCATTAAACCAATAAGAGAATAAATTACCGAGTGAACAAGCCGGGCTCCTTGTGGCTCCTCGTGGTTAGTGAGTTCAAGGGCGTCATGACCGAATTTTGATTGATTCTTTGAAGAGTAACCAGATTTTGTAAGCGCAGCATATTCACATCCTCTGTCGGAAGTCATCAATGGGTGCTCCTTTAAATCACCGTGTTCATTCTAAAACAGTCAAAGTTTTTCGTAAAATATTCATGGTTACCTCAACAAATTGAAACATCTTGTGGATTTCATCTTCGTATTGGCAAGTCTAAAGGTTAAAAATTAAAAGCTTTAGTTTCGAGTATCTAGTACCGTTTTGCTGGTCCTGCTGGCGGTACTTTGAATAGTAGAAGTCGAGTGAGTCGCAGCTGCAGTAGCAGGAAAGCGCAGCAAGTTTGTCTCTTGTTTGTACGGTGTCACCTCGATCATTTCAACACTTCCGTGATGCGAGAATTCCGAGCGACGATCCTAAATTCAAAATAGGATTTTCTAAAGTCTAAATTGATACTGGTTGAATAAAAGACGCTTTCCTCACAATGTGGTTTCCGTCGCTATGATCAGAGCGATAATCCTAAACATAAAGTATAATTTTTATGAACTTATGATGACACCGATTGAATGAACGATTCCCTTCTTGAAATGTAGTTTCCAGGGCTAGCATTTGATTCATCCGTCAACCCTATTGGAATCGCTCGACGTCGACTAGCAGAAGACGAAATTGTCACTTCTTCAGGTTTTCGCATCGGAGTTTTCTTGTGCTCAACCACTGGACGAAGATCCTAAAATGAAATCAATAACTAATTTGGAAGCAGGTACTCACTTTTAATGGTGTCCCAGCAATGTTATAAAGTTGTGGCATATCCGAAAATTGAACTAGTGGATCCTTAATGCCAGTTGAATAAAACTCCTCCTAACTGAATACCTGACGAATCAACGACGGAGCACTTTCGGATGATCGTTGAATAACCGTCACTTGACTCTCCTTGCTAATCGATGGATGTGTCTTGAAAGCTTCACCGGGATCCGAATTGAGCGAATATTGGCCAGATTTCCCAGATGAGCTCTAAAATTGAACGCATTAATGATACGAAAGCTTTGCTAAGACCCACCAAAGATCCGCCGCTTTCAATTTTCGTTCCATCTTCATTATAACGGCATCGACTCTCCCATTGCTCTTTAACTTTCCCAAATTCAATAGACTAAATTACAAAACTTGGTTAATAACAACTAAGTTAACTAACAGACAAATCATTATTCAACTTCTTTGTTTCATCAATCATTTGCAAGCGACGTGGCTTTGGAAGAATACGGGCATATTGTGGAGAAGCTTCAACTTTCACCTCAGAAGGTTTCTAAAGTTAGACTTGTTACAAACGTTTAGTGAATGTATCTTACCTGAATGACAATTGGAACCGTTCTAATAGGAGTCGATGCAGTAGAGTGCATTGTTGGCTTCTAAACATTTCAAAAGGGTGTTAAATTTAAAAGGGTAAAAAAACCTTTATGATAATTGGAATGGCACGGCTATCCTGCTTAGGCGAAATTGGCACATTGATCTAAAGAAAAAGTCTCATTTATGACAAAAGCAGCTAACAATACTAATATCTAATAACAATAACATCACTAATTCAAAAAGCTTTGACTAGCAACAAGAAAGCTAGACCTAAATTTAGTCTTCGTTTCCACCACCACTTCATCAGTCTGAAACATAAAACCAACATGTTCTGAACAAGCCAAATCAAGATCCAATCTTTTTAGTACTCAAATCATTGAAAAATGAAGTAAACCGTACCATTCGCCGCCTGTAATCAACCGAACTAAAGCTCTCCCGCGTCAAATTGACGAGATCGCGTCCCGACATCTAAAGAAACAATAAGTTTGAATGAAAAACAAAAAAACAAAGCAATAATGAAACGAACAAAACGTGTATTCTAAAGCCTTTCTCTATTTTAAGCCGGTTACACGTGGTTTTGTCAGAGATTTAGCAAAAATAGAGGTAAATCACGAATTCATTCGTCGTTTTATGTTGGGTAAACAAGCTAGGGCAGATTCTCACTCAAATTTCAGTAAGTGTTGCAAAATTGGGAAGATTCCAGGTGAAAAATATGCCATTCTAAGTCACCAAATGATTAATTTATCAAATTAACACTTTAAAATAGGATTTGATCGAGTAAATTTTACGAAATAACGCAGAAAACAAATGAAAAATGAGGGGTTGGCTAGTTTGCGCCAAATTTTTTGCGCAACTCACCAGAAGTTTCTTCTAAGTGGGCCAATCTTTATGATTTTGGTCTCATTTTGTAGATCTCAACAAGTACAACAAAAAATGACACCAAAATCATAAAGATTGGCCCACTTAGAAGAAAGTTCTGGTGAGTTGCGCAAAAAATTTGGCGCAAAGTAACCTTGCAAAATTGTTGAAAGTGGGACAAATGCGACCTTTTTTGCGCACCCGGCCCATTAGCGCACCTTTTTTTCACGTTTTAAAAAGCTCTAAAAAGCTAATATTAACCAATCTCTACTCCAAAAGTTGTTTTTCTGGGTAATTTTAGGGCGTAGAATCCAAATTTTGACATATCAGAGCTTGTGGAACCAATTTGAAAGATCAAACGGGTAGATCAAATTACAGAAAATTGTCGATTTTTTCCTATGTATAAGTCCGTCCGTTTGCTTCCACAAGCTCTGATATGTCAAAATTGGGTGCTAGCCCTAAAATTACCCAGAAAAACAACTTTTGGAATAGAAATTGGTTAATATTAGCTTTTTAGAGCTTTTTAAAACGCGAAAAAAAGTGCGCTAGTGGGCCGGGTGCGCAAAAAAGCTAATATTAACCAATTTCTATTCTAAAAGTTGTTTTTCTGGGCAATTTTAGAGTGTAGAATCCAAATTTTGACATATCAGAGCTTGGGGAACCAATTTGAAAGATAAAACGGGTAACTGGTTAATATCCCACTCCCGCCACACCCTGAAAAATGACGGGAAAGAATTTTCCTTGGTGTTATACTGCTCTTTAGCTGAATAGTTTTACTTTTACCTTGTTTTTTTGTTTTGTACGCGAATTATCGTTTTACATGCGGGTTGAGAGAATTTATTGCAATGGATTTTGTTTCAAAAACTCCGGATCAACTGCAACGATTTTAGCCAATAGAAACGCTTGCAAGTTGTAGACAACGGTCAGCACCTCTTCGCATTCCATGTCCTAGAATTTTTCTGTAGATTACAGTAGTTTTAACGCAGCCTCAAAGAATCTTTACATTACCTTGGTTTCCAACTTTTTCGGATCCAAACTCCGGTCATCGTTGAAAACCAACTGCACGAGCACTTTCCCGTCATCGGATGACGAGTGCAAGTCTCGGAAACGATATTGCCAAGCGTAACTCTAAAAAGATTACTACCTAGAATAGAAATCCAGTTTATTTTTCAACCTTTGTCGGAATATCGTACAAGCTGATTCCCTGTTTAATATCAAAGACGAGACCGCTTGGTCGACCCTCGAAACTGCATGCGAAAGTTCGAGTCTAAAATCTGTTCGTTCACAAAATGGAGTCGAAACTATAATATGATACTTTGTAGTTGAGTCAAAGCTACCGGAATTGAGTCAAAGCTACCGTACCCCAGCCAAACTACGGGTCTATCCCAAAACAGCGCCGCCAAAACAGCGCCGCCCTAAACAGCGCCGTACCCAAAACAGCGCCGACCCGAAACAGCGCCAATGCAAAAACGCCCAAAACAGCGACGAGCAAAAAAAAATATTTTTTAGATTTTTGCTTTTGCTTTTTCTTTGCTGTTTTTAACTTTTTCTGTCCACTTTTTGTGTTTTTAGGGTAAAAAAAGGCGGAGAATCCGATTTTTTTAAGCTTTACGCATAGAAACCTGCGATAGCGTTTATTAAAGTGATTTTAACCAAAAATAACAATTTTTTTCCTTTTACGGCCTGTTTTTTAGCGTTTTCGCTAACTTTTTATTTCTACTACGGATCACTTGAAAGCTCTAGCCGTTTATGTTCATCATCGCTAGTGTTATGATGTTTCAGAGTCTCTTAGACTATTAATTTGATGCTATTTTGATGTTTTTTATGCATCATTTAATTGTTATCGTTTATTGTTGGTGGTCATGTTATTTTGAAATAAATTATCAAAATTAAAAGCTGCTAATAAAAAAAATGAATTGTACATTGTAAAAGAAAAAAACTTTGTTTTGCATCGGCGCTGTTTTGGGCGTTTTTTCATTGGCGCTGCTTTGGGCGTTTTTTCATTGGCGCTGCTTTGGGCACGGTGCTATTTTGGGTGGCGCTGTTTTGGTCGGCGCTGTTTTGGGATAGACCCCAAACTACGTTACTGTGAGTCCAGTTTTTACGCTCTTGGTTGTGCTAGGTAATTTGAGGTAATTTGATTTTTATATGACTCAATGCTGGATAAATATCTAATATGAATTTCCATCTTTTCACCAACTTGCATAGCATTGATCGTTGTGTGAACGCATCGATAGTAGGCTGCCTCAAAGCGTTCCATCATTTGAGGGGATTCGAAAGCAAGATAATGCTTTACTTCTTCACCTGAAAAAGATTGTTTGAAGAAATTTCATTCCGGCATAACAATTTTCAAAGAAATTCATTTCCCTCACCAAGTGCTGTCTCCACCCAAAGACAATTGTCTCTTTTATCCAATCGTCGCATGTCATCCGGTACCTGAATTCCCTTGTAGGCCATTTTAACTGAATCCTATACCTGTTTAACAGCTACATCATAACATTTGTAAAGATTCAAGCATTTTCCGAGATCATCCGAGTTCAACTAAAAAGTTACAAAGCCAGTGCAAGTAGCACTGTGATTGACAGGTGAACTTTGTGCTCAAAAGTCTAAACACACCTTTTCTGATGCACTTAAATCCAAGATCCTGGAAATTAAGTATGCCAGAAAGGGTGTGTTTTCATTTGCACAAAGTACATTGACAATTGAGACTCAAAGTTATTAACTTGCTCAAGGAAACAAGTTAATAACTTTAAAAGATAGTCTCTAGGTGATGGAATAGCTTCTAGATGCAGTTGATTATTGTATTTGACTAAAAATTCAATATTCCAACTCACCGGCGGTGTCTCGAAAAGACAAATATCGCCTCCTTTCAATATCAGAAATCTCGGTTCCCAGCGTTGTTTCGGATCAACACTCGCCTCTTCTGTTAAATGCTCATTCACCCAACCAATGTAGGTGATCTAAAATATGTTTTTGTGCACTCTGTAGCCCCCTAATCTCTGTTTTCTAAAGCGCGAACTTTTGGGTTACGGTAGATAATTAATGGTTAAAAATTTTCGTCATTCGGTTAAATCATTTAGCAGACTTCCTTTCATTTTTAACGATTTTTATGTTGCTGTTAAATTCGTGAACACTTTTCAGGTTTTATTTTGGCTTTTAGTAGAAATTGGTACCGTAAATACTGTAATAGTACCCCACCCCCATAATGACGATGCGGAGTGTTGCGTAGTCTAGCTTTGAACGAGTTTTTCTCGACACTGGTTTATGCTACAATGCTCGCTTTGGTATCAAAAAATAGCTGAAATTCAGGGCTATTTTTTGATACCAAAAACGAATTTTTTCAAAGCACAGACGCTTTGAAAAACGCTACAAAACTTTTGCGACTACGCGACTGTACGAGGGGGTGGGGTACTATTACAGTATTTACGGTAGGTTTTTGATGCATTCAGTCCTGTTTTCACACGCTTTTTAGAGTCTAACGCTTTTAGACTTTACTTTTTATCTTTGCTTTAGACTTTTAGACTTTTAGACTTGAACGTTAGACTTTTAGAGTCTAATGTTAAACAAATCTCTAATAACGAACTGTACGACACTACAAAGTGTACAAAGTACACTATTATATTATTTAGCTGATCACAAAAATGACTGGAACTGGCTTTTGGTTCAGTTTTGAATTGTCAAAGCTTCAAATTTGTACTTCTTAATCTGGCCCGGATTGTCAAAGCTTCAAATTTGTACTTCCTGATCTGGGCCGGATTGTCAAAGCTTCAAATTTGTACTTAAGTTTTGTATCTTAGCCTGTTCAGCTATAATATTGGACCTGGTTTTTGATCTCTTAATCTTACAGGCAATCCTGGTTAGAAGAAGTTTGTAGTTTGTAGTAGTTTTAGTTTACAATGTGCATTCTTTTAATTACTTGTTTTGGTAAGTTTTGTCTTGTTGAAGCCTGTCTTATTGACGAACCCAATGCCTAACAATACCTCGACTCACCTGTTCACTCTGATGCAAATACTTGTTGCTCATCTTGATACTTTTCTGATTCAAATGATTGATGTGTTGATGAATCTTCATTAACCATAGCTCAAGAGCTCTGCTATCCTGAATTTAAAACTCCATTTTAATCAACTAAAACCCACCTCACAATGAATCACTCCTGAAGAAGTTCCATCAACGGCTCGTAGCTCAAAAGCGTGTTGTCTTAAAAAGTTGATTTAATTACCCAATGAGTTAGTACGACTTTGGAAATGAAATCTTAAAGTCCTAGTACCTTAAATTATCCGTTCCCCACAAATATCTCGTCAAATAGGCCATTGGAAGGGGAATCGTTGAAATCGTCTTCCACTTACCGTCATCGCGATCAAGAGTTCTAAAATTATCAAAGAATAAAACTCATTAATGAAACAACACGATTGGGTAATTAATCCAAGCAATACCCCATTGAAGAATGATGAGCGGTGCTGCTTTTCTTCTCATACAACCCCAGATCCGAGTGCGCTTTCATTGCTGACTGAAAGGGTTCAGAACTAGATTTGGTGGCTTATCTCTCTAAATTTGGTTCCTTATCTCTCTAAATAATTCTTATTCGATTTTTGTGTCTTGACAAGATATTCTGAACTAGATTTGTAATGAAAACATTTATCGATCCTTTTTCCCGCTAGCAATTTAAAGTTTTTCTTGTTTTTCTCAACACCAACACTTCAATTTTGACTATTTTGATTATCATTTGATGCAGAATAAAATTGCGCATCGAATGATACCAAAATCAACTCAAAATGTAATATCCACGTAAAGTTGTTCGCTAAAAACCTAAACCCCGCTCATTATGGGCGGGACTTTCCCTTTTGCCGTTAGCAATTTAAAGTTTTTCTTGTTTTTCTCAGCACCAACCCTTCTATTTCGACTATTTTGATTATCATTTGATACAGAATAAAATTTCGCATCGAATGATACTAAAATTGGTGCTATCGCAATCACGAAGGTGGCAGCCTCGAAAAATTTGGCATCTAGAGGTAATTGGACACGCTGAATCCAATAAAAATAGTTTCAGCACCTGATCTTCACATACTTTCACTACTTTTGTACTAACTTTAATAACAGAAAATGAAAATAAGTTAACATATCAATAACAACAAATGAAAATAAGCTAACATATCAATAAAGTCGATAACGCTTAGCAAATTCTTACATCAAATTGTCATCATTCTCTTTACACATCAAATCCTCATCATTATTCTGCCCACTTCCACAAATTTTCGTAAAAGTGATCATCCCTAAGCTTCCCTTCAGCCCATGCCTCATTCTGATTTGGTTTTAAGCTGGTTCCAAATACACTCGAGGTCGTGTGGACGCCAGTAACCGGATTAACGAAATTTTGTGGATGATTCAGTGAGCCATTTGCCAAAATCATCATCTTTTTATTGAATTCAGCGTGCCCGATTACCTCTAGATGGCAAATTTTCCGAGGTCCGGCCCACTGCCCCCTCCCTGATTGCGCCGCCCACTGCCCCCTCCCTGATTGCATTAGCACCCCAAAATTAACTCAAAATGTAATATCCATGCAAAGGTATGAGGCAAAAGGTTAAGTCCCGCCCGTAATGGGCGGGGTTTAGGTTTTTAGCGAACAAGTTTACGTAGATATTACATTTTGAGTTAATTTTGGTATCATTCGACGCGCAATTTTATTCTGCATCGAATGATTGTCAAAATAGTCAAAATAGAAGGGTTAGTGCTGAGAAAAACATGCAAAGCCTTAAATTGCCAACGGCAAAAGGGAAAGTCCCGCCCATAACGAGCGGGGTTTAGGTTTTTCGCCAGCAACTTTGCGTAGATATTACATTTGGGGTTAATTTTGGTATCATTCGATGCGCAATTTTATTCTGCATCAAATGATAATCAAAATAGTCAAAATTGAAGTGTTGGTGTTGAGAAAAACAAGAAAAACTTTAAATTGCTAGCGGGAAAAAGGATCGATAAATGTTTTCGTTACAAATCTAGTTCAGAATATCTTGCCAAGACACAAAAATCGAATAAGAATTAAAAACTATTTCAATTAAAAGAAGGAAATTGTTAGATAGTCAAACCTTCCATGTATTCGGCTCGTAAAGTTTATCCAATGCAGATCCACTTCGACCGGGTTGTAGAGAGCTGGCTGGTCTAAACTTTTCTTATAAACAATTAACATTAAGAATGGTAATACATACCAAAGAACTTTTTCAAGTTCTTTCGTATGTATTACCATTCTTCATGCAAATTAGAAAGAAAATTAGAAAGAAAACTTGAAAACAAATTTACACAGCCTTACTGTAATAGTGTTCACTCTCATAAGAACGGTGCGGAGTTTTGCGTAGTCTAGCTTTGAACATGTTTTTCTCGATATTGGTTTAAGCTACAATGCGCGTTTAGGTATCAAAAAATAGCCTTGAATTTCAGCTATTGTTTTTCGATTCAAAAACAAAATCCTACTACGAAAGAGGAATCCGCAAATCGCCTGTAAAATGGGCAGAAGACGTCAATAATAATGGAAAATATTTGGAATGAATTGATGGTTTTATGTTGAATAAATTTTAGTTCAAAGTCCGGCAGTTTTCAACTCACCAACCCAATATATAAAAACAATCGAAATCTGGGCGCATGATTACTTTACGCGACTGTACGTCATTGTGGAGGTGCTGCTATTACAGGTATTACGATTCACTTGGAAGAAAGGGATGACATACGTACATGATACCTATTATTATTGCCTGGTAAAGGTATGGATCTAGTGAAAAAAAAGGAAACTCTCTAATAGTAGTGCGCACTACTATTACAGAAAATACGGTAACAGTTATTCAGTTATTAAAGTAAATAGTGCTTACTTAAGATAGGGTGTAATTTGGGTGAAGTGTCGAACACCGAGCGTCACCTCATCATCCTCAGATTTCAGCATTTCAACAACCTAAAATAGTTTACGATTTTGCAGAATCTTTGCTAAAATGGTATATAAACCTATCAGTTCTAATGAATTCTAATGAATTCTAATGAATTCTAATGATTTCTAATGATTTCTAATGAATTCTAATGAATTCTAATGAATTCTAATGAATTCTAATGATTTCTAATGATTTCTAATGAATTCTAATGAATTCTAATGAATTCTAGTGAATTCTAATGATTTTCAATGATTTCTAATGATTTCTAATGAATTCTAATGAATTCTAGCGAATTCTAATGAATTCTAGTGAATTCTAGTGAATTCTAATGATTTTTAATGATTTCTAATGATTTCTAATGATTTCTAATGATTTCTAATGAATTCTAATAAGAACGGTGCGGAGCGTTGCGTAGTCTAGCTTTGAACGCGTTTTTCTCGACACTGGTTTAAGCTACAATGCGCGTTTAGGTATCAAAAAATAGCCTTGAATTTCAGCTATTTTTTGATACCTAAACGCGCATTGTAGCTTAAACCAGTGTCGAGAAAAATGCGTTCAAAGCTAGACTACGCAACGCTCCGCACCGTTCTTATTAGAATTTATTAGAATTCATTAGAAATCATTACAACCTTTTTGATATTAAAGACAAATTGAAATTATCACTTTTTTTGTACCTCATCATGAGATTTCCCATCAACGGCAATCCCGTTCACTTCGACAATCGCGTCACCAACGAAGAGTTGCTTTGTTTCATCAGCTGAGGAAGTTTTTTGAGAGGATTTTTTGAGAGAATTTGAGAGAACTAAGAATTTAGAGGAATTTCTAGAGCCAAAAAGTCATTTCCTAAAGTCTTAAAAGGTTTATTATCAATTAAATACCAGGCATATCTGGAAAAATCTTCGAGATGACAATCGGAAAATTGCTGTTGTGATCACCGCCCTAAAGTTCTCTTTTAAAATCGAAAGAAAGTCACAAAAGATTTTATAACTAAAGATTTTATAACTAAAGACTTTGTAGATAACTAAAGATGTCTTTTTGAATTGCAAATTCGATTTCTTAAACTCACTCGAATACTCAAGCCAAGTCCTCCGCCATCTTTCCTTTTCTTTATCACGATATGTCTTGTCGAGGTGTCCTCCGGGGCCACTGATACCTCATCGATCACTGCATCGGAGGGGATTTGAATCGAGATTTGATCTAGAAATATGAATGCAATAGAGTTTGCTTTACTGGCATTGCTTTACTGGCACTTTCCCTTGGCATCTCTGCCGCAATAGTAAATCATCGCGTCAAATGAACAACAGTTGCCTTATACAGTGCGTTTAATTATCACTTACAATACAACAAGTGTGGCGAATAGCCACTAAAAATTTACCTAACTCTGACAGCCTAAAAATTGGAAAAGTATTTCAAATAACAACAGCAAAATTTTGCAACAAGCTAATTAAAAATTTGAAACGGTTGATTTAGCAAAAAGTTTCCATTTTGAACATATTTACTTTTACAGTGCTTATTTTCTTGCTTATTTTCCGTGTTTTTTTAGGTTTTAAGACATGCTCTTTCTAATAGAAAAAGATTAATAATATTGGGTTGGGGACTATGACTCGGCGGACGATATGTCATATGTGATAGTTTGAGCACTTTCTTCAAAAGAAACCCATTTTGGTGTCAATGGAAAAGTTGTAGAGAATCAAAAATCAAGCTTATATACAAATTTTCAGAACGATTCAAACACTGGTTTTCAAGAAATGCCAAATTTACAAATTTTCACAAAACTTGCATTTTAAGCGAAACTACTAAGTGTATCTTTTTGGAAATTTGGCTATAAGCCTAATTTTTGACTCTCTATAACTTTTCCATTAACACCAAAATGGGTTTCTTTTGAAGAAAGTGCTCAAACTGGGACATCTCCAGTCCTCCATTTTTGAGTCTCACACTTGTCTCACACACAAACCAAACTCCTACTACGAAAGAGGAATCCGCAAATTGCCTGTAAAATGGGCAGAAGTCGTCAATAATAATGGAAATTATTTGGAATGAATTGATGGTTTTATGTTCAATAAATTTGCCTTTCTTTTGTCCGCCGAGTCATAGTCCCCAACCCAATAGGTTGATGCATAAGTCTTTTCGTTTTTTTCGTACTTCTGTTAAAAAGTAACAAATTCACCAAGTAATCTATAGTTTACTCTATAAAAAAAGTGTTTTTTTGTTCAATTTGCATCTTTTTAAATGAATTTCGGTTCACTTTCAAGCAAATTCGAGAGTGAAAAACGCCTTTTTCGTAAAAATCTATAAAAAACTCTACGGAAAAATTGGCTGAATGAATTTCTCTGAAATTTTGGCGAAATATCAAACGTTTTTTTTCTCTATCTTTTATCTATTGACACGAAGATAGGTTTTCTTTAGCTAAGGTGTCTAAACCGCATCATCGAGTTAGCCCTTTTTGACTACCCGACTTCATACTCTCAAGAAAATCCAGGCATTAAATATTTTTAAACCCGTTTTAATGTTATTTTGCAGAAAAATAATTGCTTTTTCTAATGAAATCAACCGTAGTTTAATTGGTGCATTTGTTGGCTTGAAACGGCAGACGAAAAGGAACAAAAACACTTATGCATCAACCTAATATTAGATTAGATCAGGGCCACCAGGACCAGACCAGGACCAGGATCAGGTGACCAGGGCCATCAGGATCAGACCAGGACCAGGATCAGGTGACCAGGGCCACCAGGACCAGACCAGGACCAGACCAGGACCAGGATCAGGTGACCAGGGCCACCAGGACCAGACCAGGACCAGACCAGGACCAGGATCAGGTGACCAGGGCCACCAGGACCAGACCAGGGCCACCAGGACCAGACCAGGACCAGGATCAGGTGACCAGGGCCACCAGGACCAGACCAGGACCAGACCAGGACCAGGATCAGGTGACCAGGGCCACCAGGACCAGACCAGGACCAGGACCAGGTGACTAGGGCCACCAGGGCCAGACCAGGGCCATCAGGACGTTATTTTGCAGAAAAATAATTGGTTTTTCTAATGAAATCAACCGTAGTTTAATTGGTGCATTTGTTGGCTTGAAACGGCAGACGAAAAGGAACAAAAACACTTATGCATCAACCTAATAGTTGTAGCGGTGTTCAAAATGCAAAATTCGCTATTTTAGAGGGTGCGTTTAAGAATTTGAAACGCACTGTATAGGCTTTTCAGCAGATATTCAGATACACAAGATATTCAGCTAAAAAGCTACAAAGCAATAAATGATTTGGGGCGCGAAATAGAATGAAGGCGCACGGATTTCCGCAATACTTTTCCAATTTTTTGGCTGTCAGAGTTAGGTAACTTTTTAATGGTTATTCGCCACACTTGTTGTATTGTAAGTGATAATTAAACGCACTGTATAAGGCAACTGTTGTTCATTTGACGCGATGATTTACTATTGCGGCAGAGATGCCAAGGGAAAGTGCCAGTAATTGTAAGTGATAAAAAGACATTGTAAGTGTCTTTTTATCCAAAGTGATCTCTTTTGTAGTAAAAGGCATGGAAAGTATCGATTTATTTAATAAATATAAGGTAAGGTAGCCTTGATTTCACTTACCTTTTGTTAACAACAATCTCGATGGTCGACCTCGTCCCTTACCATCGGAGATCAGCACCAAACCGTGATGAATCTAGAATTGAGCAATAAAACCTTCAAAATATAATAGTTATCGATATAAACTATGAAAATAGAATAGCTATTTGTAACTTGTAGAGTAGCTATTCGTAATAAATAATCTTAAACCCACAACGTCAAGATTTCTGTGCTTTTGCTTCATTCTGAATTCTAAATTCTGAAAAGAAACATATTATTGAAAAGTAAAAAAGAAAACTGTAAAGTAAAACAGGAAAAAAAGCTTTTAAAACGAAAATTTCAAGATAAATGGATAATCAAGACTGATAAATAAAACAAAAAAAAGTGGGTCGGTGAAGATTTAAAGCTGATAAAGTGGAGAAACTTGGTTTAAAACGCCTCAAATCGCTCTTTATTTCCAAAATATCAAACATATTTGGTCTTTTCGTCAAAGAAAAGCTCTAAAGTGAGCTCATTACAACTGGAGAAGAGTGCCCGTTTTCTCTTTTTCTTTCTTTTCTTTCTTTTCTTTCTTTTCACCTATTACAACCTTCTGCTCGATCTCAAACCCCAAATTGATCAGCTGGCACTAAAAGAAAGACATAGACAAGGGCTGTACTTTGTGCTCAGGCTTAGGTTTAGGCTCAGGCTTAGGCTTAGGCTTAGGTTTAGGTTTAGGTTTAGGCTTGGGTTTAGGCTTAGGTTTAGGCTTAGGTTTAGGCCTGGCTTTAGGCTTAGGCTTAGGTTTAGTTCAGCTTAGGCTTAGCCCAGCTTAGGCTTAGCCCAGCTTAGGCTTAGCTCAGCTTAGGCTAGCTCAGCTTAGGTCTAGCTCAGTTTAGGCTTAGTTCAGCTTAGGCTTAGCTCAGCTTAGGCTTAGCTCAGCTTAGGCTTAGCTCAGCTTAGGCTTAGCTCAGCTTAGGCTTAGCTCAGCTTAGGCTTAGCTCAGCTTAGGCTTAGCTCAGCTTAGGTCTAGCTCAGTTTAGGCTTAGTTCAGCTTAGGTCTAGCTCAGTTTAGGCTTAGCTCAGCTTAGGCTTAGCTCAGCTTAGGCTTAGCTCAGCTTAGGCTTAGCTCAGCTTAGGCTTAGCTCAGCTTAGGTCTAGCTCAGTTTAGGTCTAGCTCAGTTTAGGTCTAGCTCAGTTTAGGCTTAGTTCAGCTTAGGCTTAGCTCAGCTTAGGCTTAGCTCAGCTTAGGCTTAGCTCAGCTTAGGCTTAGTTCAGCCTAGGCTTAGGCTTAGGCTCAGTTAAACAGATTGTTTAGTATAATAAGAGTGCCCGTTTTCTCTTTTTCTTTCCTTTCACCTATTCCAACCTTCTGCTCGATCTCAAACCCCAAATTAATCAGCTGGCACTAAAAGAAAGACATAGACAATGGGTGTACTTTGTGCTTAAAATTAAAAACACATTTATTCTAGTTTACTGGATTTCGTTCTTGTAAGGAAACTAGAGAATTCCAGTGCACAAGAAAGTTGGCAAGTTAAGCATAAAGTACACTACTAAACTAAACTCAAACTACTAAAAAATAAGCTTAAGTTGAACAATTTAAACCTTAAAATTGTTTCTCTTTGGTCTCTTTTGCTAAAAAGCGTTCAAAATTGAGGGAAAACTGAGAAAAAGCTTTAAAAAAAAGTGTTTTCAAGTGTTTGCCGGAGTTTCGGCGCACTTCAAAGAGGAATTTTGAGGTTGAAAAGGGGTTATCAGAAAAAAAAGGGAATTGTGAAATTGAATAAAAATAAGTAAACAGAAACAGTTTAGTATAATAATATAGTAGAAATTTAAATAAATGTATTTTCAGAGTTTTTAAGACGATTTTCCGACTGTCGCTGATGCTAAAATCGGTTTTTTTTTAAATTTCCAGCTTTAGTTTGAGGAAAACACTTACAAAAGTACTTACAAAGTACTAAAAACAAGTACTTAGTACTTACAAACGAGTACTTAGTACTTACAAGTACTTAAACTTACAATGTACAAGTACTTACAATCTACAAGTACTTACAATGTACAAGTACTTACAATGTACAAGTACTTACAATGTACCAGTACTTACAATGTACCAGTACTTACAATGTACAAGTACTTACAATGTACAAGTACTTACAATGTACAAGTACTTACAATGTATTAGTACTTACAATGTACAAGTACTTACAATGTACAAGTACTTACAATGTACAAGTACTTGCAATGTATCAGTACTTACAATGTATCAGTACTTACAATGTACAGGTACTTACAATGTACAAGTACTTACAATGTACCAGTACTTACAATGTACAAGTACTTACAATGTACAAGTACTTACAATGTATTAGTACTTACAATGTACAAGTACTTACAATGTATTAGTACTTACAATGTACAAGTACTTACAATGTATTAGTACTTACAATGTACAAGTACTTACAATGTACAAGTACTTACAGTACTAAAAACAAATACTTACAATGTTAGATGTGAAATGGAAATTCTTTTCTTAGTATTTAACCTTTTATTTAATCAAAACTTAATCTTTCCATTGTACTTTGTACTCCAAAAAACCTCTAGTCTCTAGAGGTTTTTTATCTTTGTACCTCTATCTTTGTACTCTAGCAACTTTTCTTGCAATCTTAACTTTTAGAAATCTCTCTGAAGTCTTACCAATGGATGAAAAAACAGAAAGATCCAAGAAAATGGATCACTTATCCCCATTCTTCATGGGAAAACTTGCACAGTTAAAAAAAGTTGTTTGAGTTGAAACAGAGAAGAGATATTTTGATGTTTGAAGAGTCAAAAATAGATCATTCTTCCAGAGAAAGTTCACTATTAAGCTAAAACTAAGTTTATGTAACGTTTCTAGTAGCCAGAATTGTTCGTAAGGGATTCCAGGGCCAAGATCAGGACCAAGCCAAGATCAGGACCAAGCCAGGTCAACGTCAAGTCTTGCCTGGTTCAACTTGGCCTTGCTCGACCTTAGCCTTTTCCACAAGCATCTCATTGTCAGCCAGAATCCGAGTTCACTAACCACTAGATCTAGAGGAATTCTCTAGATTTACAAGGGCCTTGCTCAACCAACAAGCATCCCATTGTCAGCTTGTCAGTTATCAGCTTGTCAGTTGTCAGCTTGTCAATTGTCAATCGGTTTACAATCCTGAGGAAATAACTAAACTTTATACTTGAAACTGTTTTTATTAAAATCTTTTAATCTTTATTTCACTGAACTTCTTGGAGATGTTTGATGGATAGTTTTACGTACTTGAAAGTTATTTTTATACTGTAATGTGGTTTGAAACGTTACAAAGCCTTAAAAGAGCTCCAGACCAGGTCAGAACCCGATCAGAAGCCAGGTCAAGGTCTGGTTTCGGGTTTATCAACCACTCTAGCGAAATTCGCTAGATCTAGCGATTGGTGAACCCGGATCTAGCGAAATTCGCTAGATTCTGGCCTGATCTGGAGCGCTTTTAATCGGCCTGATCTGGAGCGCTCGCTTTACAATCTTCAAAATAACTCTTTCAATTTTAACATTTCTTGCTTCAAAATAACTTTCCAGTACGTAAAACTATCCATCAAACATGTCCAAGAAGTCCAGTGAAATAAAGGTTAAAAGGTTTTAATAAAAACAGTTTCAAGTATAAAGTTTAGTTATTTCCTCAGGATTGTAAACCGACTGACAATCGACAAACTGACAACTGACCAACTGGCAACTGACAACTGACAACTGACAAACTGACAACTGACAAGCTGACAACTGACAAACTGACAACTGACAAACTGACAATGAGATGCTTGTTGTGGAAAGGGCTAAGGTTGAGCAAGGCCCTTGTAAATCTAGAGAATTTCGCTAGATCTAGCGTTTGGTGAACTTGGATTTTGGCTGACAATGGCTGACAAGATCCTTGTTGTGGAAAAGGCTAAGGTTGAGCAAGGCCAAGTTGAGCCAGGCAAGACTTGACGTTGACCTGTCTTGATCCTGATCTTGGCCTGGTCCTAATCTTGGCCTGGTCCTGGTCTTGGCCTGGTCCTGGTCTTGGCCTGATCCTGATCTTGACCTGGTCCTTATCTTGGCCTGGTCCTGATCTTGGAATCCCTTAAGAACAATTTTGGCTACTAGAAACGTTACATAAACTTTGCAAATCTATTTTTACACGACTTTTACGTCTTCTTTCTTTCTTTCTTTCACTTTCAAATGCCATAAAGACAATGATCAGATGAGTGATCTCTCTGCATTTTCCGTTCTTTCCCTCAAATCCATTATCTGTTTGTGTGTTCTCTAAAGAAAAATATCAGAAACAGCTAAAAATCAGAGAGAAAAAAGCGCTTCAAAAACTTATTTGTTCTCTTTCTGAAGTGAAAAATCTGTTTGCTGATGAAAAATTCTTTTTTCTCAGCTTCAGTGAATCTTTTTCTTTTTGCCAATCATTTTCTCATGGCACTCAGCTGACCGATGGCTCATTGAGGCTCAATTTTCAGATAATAATCCTCAAATCCTCCTCAAATCATATATTTTTGAACAAATTCAATTCTAAACTTCAATTCTAAACTTTTCTTTTATAAAACTTTGAAAACTTACTTAATTTTCTTTGTTTTTTGATTCGTTTTTGATTTTGATTTAAGATTTTTCATGTTTTTTTTCTTTAAAACTTTTCTTTTCTTTCTTTTTGAGTAGAAATTTTGGATGAAAATCTATGATTTTATCAAATTTTAAACATTAAACAAAAGATTTAAACAATAATTTCGTTAAAAATCTGGCTCAACACATGTTTTCCTTCAAAAAAATTGTATAAGAAAGTGCTATAAAATGACTATTATTCCCTCATCAAGATGTGATTCCGAATCTGCTTTCCTGTCAGCTCAGGTCAATAACTAGCCGAGAACTTTTTGAGATCGGAGATGAAACCAGTCTTGACCTTGTTCAGAAAGTTTGGAGCATAGTTCAACTGTTCTTTTATGGGTTGGGGCTGGGTTGGCGTTGGCGTTGGCGTTGGCGCCTGGATTGGCCCTGGATCGACGCCTGGATTGGCCCTGGATCGACGCCTGGATTGGCCCTGGGTCGGTGCTTGGATCAGCGCCTGGATCGGCGCCCGGATCGGCGCTTGGATCAGCGCCTGGATCGGCCCTGGATCGGCGCTTGGATCAGCGCCTGGATCGGCCCTGGATCGACGCCTGGATCGACGCCTGGATCGACGCCTGGATCGACGCCTGGATCGACGCCTGGATTGACCCTGGATCGAC